ATATATATATATATATATACATGTAACAATGAACATTTAATAATTTCTTCAGTAGCATTCATTACATCACCATTGATGAGCATAACAATTATGAATATCCTAAAATATTTATTCTCCAAAACTAAAGTTTCATATTCATTTTTTATTCATTAAGTTTGTTGGTAAATTTTAGGGGTATGTCATTCATCATTGGGAATTTGTACCTTTACGTGATATATCTTGTTTTTTTAAATCATACTGTATTCTTCCAGTCTTGTGAAATTTTTATCTACCATTGTGATATAAAATATGCTGAGAAATTAAAATAATCAAACCACCAAAGCAATGCCCAGAATGTAGACCATTACAGAATATGTTTAGTACTGATGCTACTTTCAGTGTAAATTCCTTTTGGTTGCCTCAGGTGCTGTTACTAGAATTTTTTGCTATAGAGTCTTCTTAGGGCATTTTTAATGTCCTTATTCCTTAGGCTATAGATGAAAGGATTCAGCAAAGGAGTCACAATAGTGTACATTATGGAAGACACCATGCTCTTCCTGGGAGAATGTGCTAGAATAGATTCAAGATACATCCCAATGCTTGTTCCATAAAATAAACAAACAACTGACAGGTGAGACCCACAGGTGGAGAAAGCTTTATACTTCCCACTTGATGATGGGATTCTGAGAATGGAGAAAATAATTTTATAATAAGAAAATAATATTACTGAGATGGGAACAGAACCAAATATAGCACCAACAAAATAAGTGATGATGTTTTTGGTAAAGTTTTCAGTACAATCCAGTTTAAGAATTTGAGTAGGTTCACAGAAGAAGCTGGAAATTGTAACATCCTGGAAGTAAGTGAACTTTAAGAAAATTAGATTATGCAGTTGTGAGTCCATAAGGCTAAATAAAAAAGATATGAAAACTAAGAAGACACAAAAGCAAGAGTTCATAATCAATGAATATTGTAGGGGTTGACAGATGGCCACAAACCTGTCATAAGCCATCACAGTCAGAAGCATATAATCCATACATCCAAAAAGAATCAGCAAAGACATTTGTGTCAGGCAGCCCACAAAGGAGATGACACTCTTGTGAGTTATGTTGTCCACAATCATCTTTGGGACAGTGGTGGAGATGAAACAGATGTCAGTAAAAGACAAGTTGGAGAGGAAGAAGTACATGGGGGTGTGGAGTTGAGACTCTAAATTGACAGCCAGGATAATAAGCAGATTCCCAAGCACAGTGACTAGGTACATGGAGAGGAAGAGAACAAAGAGAATGGGCCAAAGATTGGGATCCTCTGAGATTTTCATTAGATAGAATTCTAACACACCTGTTAAATTCTGGTTATCTGTATTGTTTAGACATCTGTAGAAAAAGATAAAAGCATGGGAAAAAGAAATAAATAAGTAGGCATCTAGCAGACTGTATGAGTTTTATACTTGAATATCCAGAAGTACAGAATTTCACATCTTCTACATCTCTAGTAAAATTTTGCACTTTACTGAACAAAATTTTATAAATCTTCCATTATTTATTCCATATTACTCACCTACTCTTGCACATGTCCATCTTAGGAGCTACTGATTGAGCAATACCATAAGACTAAGAATATTAGAAACAAGAAGTTCATAATCTCATTAAAATAAAGCTTATTTAAATGAAAATTAAAATGAAGCAATAGCTTTCCTTCTTAAAAAACATTATAAAGTAAATCAAGAAGCACTAAAATTTACCATAGATCTATCAAAATCAAGGTCTGATAGTCCAATAATTTGAATATTAATAAAATGTTTACAACTTAAATCATTTCATAGTCAATTAATTTTTGACAGTTAGTATTCATAAAAATAGAAGATGTGAGCCAAAATAAGTGTGTAGTTTGACAGTACTCACTGTAATATAATTTGGAAACAGTGGAAAGCAGTAAAACCTAGAAAAATGAATTAATATATCTGCTTCACCAATTGTAACAATTTCTGTAGTTATTTATTTTATGAGTATTTTACAACTGTTCAATTGCAGAGTTTAAGTTACTTGTCCATTTTATCAATATATTTACCTCCTAAATACTGATATATACAGATACTCTTTTCTAAAATAATAGCTACTTTGATCATAATGTCTGCATGTGAATTTCTTTGAGGTTCTTTCCTACATCAGTATTGAGAACAACTGCTGAAATGTATTTCCTGCCATTAGAATTTTTAAAAAAATTTGTTAACATTGATTCTCTTACTATCAATAATGCATACTATCTATATTACAATGTGAACATTGTATGATATTTACAAATCAGATTCAAAATTTAATTGTGGTTGTAATTATAATCTGTGAACTTTTGGTTTCTTGATATCTCTGCATGACTCTGTTCTCTGCACAGCATGTCCCAAAGGCAACTATTGTCACGAATTTCTAGGTAGGTTTTCCTGTTTTTGTTTCCATATTAGTACTGATTATTTTATCTATGAAGCCTTTACTTCAGGACTTACCAGAAAAGTACAAAAGCTCATATATTGCCCCTGAGATTTTCTAATTTACATCATCAGTATCCATAAAATCTTTTCTTGGGCTGGGAATTTAGCTCAGTGGTTCTGCTGCCTACCTTGCAAGCACAAGGACCCTAGTTTGATCTCTGATCCAAAAAACAAAACAAAACAACAACAAAAGTACACCTTTTCTTAGGGACTTACATAAAAATACCTATAGCTCATCTAAGTAGTATATAACTCCTATTGACACTGTCATATTCTACTTTAAGTCAGTGTGTGAGCTACTTTGTGTGGGTGTGCAGTACATACAAATAACTCAAATGAATTAAACGATAAGTGGAATTACCGGAAAGCAAGCCAAGATACAATTGGTAAGGTTACTAGGACAGTCCCTTCAATATTTATTTTCTTCTCTCTATAACAAACACGATTTCAATCATCCCCAAAAATATGTATGCAAAATTCCTTGACTTCCTAAAATAACTATATTGTTTGGTAGTAGTGAACTTCACATGATATCTCTATTAACAATTCAGCCATTAAAACTAGATCTATGTCCTCATATTATTAATATTCACAAGTATTCCAAGACCCGGGTAGAAATAATATTTCCAAAATAATTAAACAAACTTTCATTTTACCTTAATTTCTTTTTGTTTGGCGCCAGTAGAATAGACATCCATCTGGGATGTATCTCCAGATATAAACATATCAATAATGAATATTTGCCCTGCTACAAAATGCTGAATATTTGTTAATCTTTCCTCTGTGTGTTCATACTGCATAATGAAAATACAGTAACTAACATTGTAAGAATATGTGTTACCACATAATCTAAATTTGGGAATGAATAAATATTTGGTCGTGGTGGGTTTTTTAATAAAATATTCCTACATTAAAAATGGTGAGTTTGATGATAATTACAATTGTTAAAGGTCACTGGTGCTATTAAGTAATGTGAAAAAATTAATAGGTTTTGGTTCAAGGCTTAAGTTAATCTTAGTGCTTCACTTTGTAAGTCGTTTTTACTTTTTGGTACCCATGAAACACTGATACTTTCTTTGAGTAATTTTAACTTGCCACTGCAGTTAAATAGAATTATTGGGTCCATATTTATGACGTACTCCAAAAGACCTATTTAATCTCACTTCTAGTTTGATGGATCATTAATGAAAGGGGTAAAAGTATGTGCAGGAAGGCATCAAGTAATTTGATGCCACATGACTGTGGTCAACCAACCAGTAACTTATTGACACCCATTTTTATTTTTGATATATTCTCTGTGTCAGAAGTGGTATAGGCTCAACAGAATCATAAATTATAGAAAGTTAATCATTCCTCTCCAGATACTCTGCATGCTCTTATACAATACAAAACATATGTCATCTAAACAAGTAAGAAATAAGAAACTTGAATTTTTAACATATTTACATGGAAAAACATGATAATTAATTTTCTCTTTATAATGAATAATAACATCTATTTTTGCTCTGATTTAATCATTTATTCACATATTAATCACATAGGCAGCAGCCATCATTTGTTCAGTCCTTCCTCAATGCACTTGTCTCAAGTAGAAATCACATCAGTTGTCAACACTGAGTCTCAGAGATACTAACAGCCTGCTCTATTTTATAGAAGTGATATGTTATACCTGCCTTTAAATATCATTTTCAGATTTCAGATTGATTGCATGAATGAAGGTGCATGTGGACACCTGTGAGTGTATCTTAGAGAAGAAGGAAGACAGAAGTCTGTGCAGAATGAATGTGCATTCTATCTGATCATTTCTGTGATCTCAGTCCTTCCTACAATGGTTGCAGTGGTTGTCACTGACCGATCTGCCCCATCATTGACCAGGAACTGCTCAAAGGAAGAACACAGGAAGAAAAGATTCTCATGCCAGAGTGTCAGGAATGTGAAAGGCCTGAAGTGTGAATGTGACCACCATCTCAGATTGTACTACCCAGGCTCCCTCTACCCCTAGACCTCTCATTTTATTGTATTTATTTTATGTTATCTTATTTTGGATAATTGTTTACAGCATGTGCATTTTACAGTTCTCATAGGGAGTTAGTACATACATAATATAAGGCTTGTTGATCTCCTTTTATTCCTTCCCTTCCTCCTGCTGTAGCTATCATGTGCCTTTAGTGTTTTTTACCTAATCTTGCAGAACAAGTTAGATTTAAATGTTGTGCCATTATCGTATTGGTAAAATAAATATGACTTGGCATTTACAACCAGGGAAGACTATGCAGCTGAATTGATCCACTCAACAAAGAACAGAGAAACAAGCACCTGACACTGACAGATCTGACAGTAAAGTTATGAATACTTTTTCCATCCTGCTCCTTGCCTGCATCATCACCATCCCAAATGTTCCACAGTGTTTAGTAAACAGTTGAATTTGATCTACTTGCTACTGTCACTTATGCATTATTTCTGGGAAGTAGAACCACTCTAAGAGGAAAGCAAAAATTTGAACCCACAACCCAGATCATAAACTTTTCAGCCCTTATATCTGACATTGTCACATTATTGTCCTCCAATCATCCTACACAAATTCTTCTGTCCTGATTAGTAAGAAACAAAGTGCCTGCTTGCCTTGATTAGTACAAAACAAAGGTCCAAGCAGTCTTTTCTCCACCCTTCATCTGCCTCAGCACTTACTGATGAGCACTGCGGCTGAAGTTGGTCATGATGGAGGAGTGTGGATCTCAAATTTATCTACTGCCTGGCATCAAGCATGGATGGTGGTTCTGTCCTCAGGCTTGACATCAGTGCATCTGTGATGGGAGCTTCCCAGTGCAGAAAATCCATGGAGGAGGACACTCATATGAAGTCAGTTTCAACAAAGACACACCACTGAAGGGCGGCAGGTCTGGTCTGATTACTGACTATTTTATGAGCTTTAAAGTGAAATGTACAGAGGTCTTAATTAGCATAATTGGCTCAGGTTGTCACAGACTCTTAGGACATAGTAATATTAATTGGGGAAGAAGAACAAAGCAAGTGAATTTCCACAAATGTGTTGGGGCTGTGTCTCTATAGAGCAAGAAGAATGCTACTACTATTATTTCTTTCTTATTTAAACATGTATATGATATATATTGCTATATATTACTGGATTTTAACTTGCCAAAAATTAAAACTATACCCATCTCTCACCATTCACTAAACTAAAATCCAAGTGGATTGAAGATCTAAATATCAAAACAGAAACATTAAACTTGCTGGAAGATAAGTTAGGTTGAACTCTCAAAGACACTGGCATAGGAAAAGACTTTATGAACAAATCCTCAGTAGCACAGGAACTTGCACAAAGAATCAACATCTGTTAAAAAGCTTCAGCAGTATAAGAGAAACCACTAACAGAGCTAAGAGACAACCTACAAAGTGGGGAAAAAACAATTACCAGCTGTTCCTCAGACAAAGGACTACTTTCTAGAGTATATAAAGAACTAAAAAATCAGAACCTCCAAATACAAAGATCGATTTCCTTTTGAAGAAGAGCTCTGTCAATGTACAGCTACTTCCTGGGACCTGACTGGACAGTTGTTTTTACTCTGTCTTATGATCAGACAACTTTGATTTTTTAAGAGGTGGGAGCACATTTCAGGAGTTAGCAAGACCACAGTCATTTACTAATCTACTGAAGGGGCTTGTTCAACCTCTGTCCTTTCCCTTCCTGAGAAATCCTGTCACTTGTGTGCACTTCCCCCATGTCTCTCTGGGCAAGATCATTGTCTCATCTTCTTCTCATTCAATCATTGTCCTCAACTCTCCACCTGCACCCAAGTCTCTCAGAACACTTATCCAGGAGTCTAGACAGCATTTAAGGCTCAGTGGAGAAAAGCCCCCCTGCTGGAAATTCAGTAGCATTTGGGGGCCCATGAGATGGTGCCCACATAGGCACTGAACTCATCAGTTTTTTTTTTTTACAGTGGAATAGATGCAGCATGGCCTCAAAGTGCCCTTCTTGGAGGGGGATACTACACCTGCATTAAGCTTGGCTGCATTTGGTGGGGCAGTGGCACCCTGTTTCTGCTCTAGTATCTTTCCTCTTACCTCAGATCACACCAGTCACAACCTGGACTCATCATTCCACAGATACCTGGATGTCTGGTTGCAGGTCTTGGAAAGGTCTGTGCCCCTGTTCTTTGATGTTCCTAGTGCTTTATCATTCTAAATGTGACTTGCACCTTCCTTATGGCACTAATCTGAGGGGCACATCTTCTGTGAATATCACTGGATGGGCTCTGTCTGTCAGTAAGAAAAAGGTTAGGCCAAGTAGGCATTGGAAAGTACCTTCTAGGCTGGAATATCCTATGTTTTGACATAAGTATGCACTGTGTAGTGTTCGAAAGACTTTAAGCATATTGGTTTTCTCAAATTTACTATTCTTTGAAGATGAAAAGTTAATTATTTTCTTCTAGCTTTCTCAAATACACAGTAGATATTTGTTATCTAAACTCACCCTAATATACAAGAGCACTCTACAACCCTCAACGTGTGGGAACTAGAATATCACATATCAAGTAAAATAACTATGTGAAGAAAAAATAATTCTACCTGATGAAACTCATGTGAACTTTACAAATTTGGCCTCACTGATAGAGAGCATAATTGTGATTGTCAAGGCTGGTGTAGTGTTAGGAATATTTATTGGTAAAGCATACAAAATTCCAGTCAGATATAAGGAATGAAAATGTAAGAAAAATGAAAAAAATGGAATTAAAGTGTTTGTAAAAGGGGAGGGGAGGAGAGAGTGAAGGGAGGGTAGGGACAAGGGGAAAGAAATTAGAACCAAGGCCTGTCATGTAAAGGTACAAGATCCCAGTAATGAATGTAACTGTACTGTATACCTAGAATGTACCAATAAACTCAATTAAAAATAATTGTACAGCTCAGCAACTACAGTTAATAATGGCATACTTTTTTTGTTGTTTTTTTTTCAGTACCTGGGATTGAACCCAGGACCTTGTGCTTGTGAGGCACGTGTGGTGCAACTGAGCTAAATCCCTGGCTCCAGCATGCTATATTTTTGAAATAGTCTGAATTACTATTAAATGTTCTCTCAACAACAAAGATAACTATGAAAGGTAATGCATCTCTTCATTTTCTATATTTAACCATTTCAGAATGCTGAATATTTCCAAACATCACACTGTGCATTGGAATCACATAAAACTTTATCTGAAAAATTTTAAAATAATAAATTTTGAAAAATTTAAAATGAGAAAAAAATTTAAAAACAGTCTTTTCCTCCATAACATTGTGGTTGTCAAATTGTCTATAAAATCACCAAAATTTCTATGGAGGTGTATCACAGATAATTTCCTGGTGTGGTTTTTAAAAGAAATTACACATTAGATAAAATGTGAATTTGAATTCAATTGTGAATGAGAAATCAAACCAAAGAAGAAAATTTTTATACTTGGAGTAAATAGATTTCTTTCATACTGTGCAACCTTTGTAGATGCACAACAATTTAAATATTTTTCATTCTCTATTTTTCTCTGTATCCCCAATAGAGCTGAATATTTGGATAATGCAAAGACAACAGAACAATTTATTTAATTAGAAGTTTTGAGATTTCAAATATTTGGATGCAAGAAACTAAATCTGTGCTCCTGCCAGCCCTGATTTGCAATTCTCTAATCGCACACTGGATGAAAACAGGACAGCTTCCCACAGGCAGAGTGTGGAGAAGAAATATCACCAGAAAGAATGGATAAGTCCTGGTGAAGGCAGGACTTGTAAAAAGTGAAACATGGAGGCACGTTGTGCACTGGGATTTTCCTCTAGAAAAATAATACTATAAAATTCAAATATTTCCTGAATCTATGAAGGTTAATCTCTGCACTTCAAAGAATTAGTGATTTTTGAAATTTCCATTAAGATCTATATTTCCTTAGTTATTCTTTTGTTTCCTTATCTCAGAATCTTTGAACCACAGGGCCTCTCTCAAAGAAGTTATTTTCTGAAGAGTCTGTCTTCTACAAAGTTTCTTATAAGTTGTAGCCTATTAGATATCTTGCACCAAATTGTGTATTCATTATCAACTCACTGAAATTCTATTATCCGCATGGTACAACCTAACTTGCTCCATTTTAATGAGAGATTTTTCTTCCTATATTCCCTATTTAACAGATTGGTTCCACCTCTTCATAAGCACTACTTGTGGCATATTTCAGGTATTATTTCATCTTAATGTCCACAATAGTATTGGCCAATAATGTAACTATTTCTGATGTTTAAAAATCAACTTCCTCTTACCATATCAACAATTCATTTAATTATTTAGGAAAATATTTATTGATTAAACTTGGAGAGACATCCTCAATATTTTCATGAGTTTAATACAGATATTCTAGTGTTTTAATGTAATGTCTCATTTTGGTTGTTTTGGAAAGAATTGTTCTTTGTTGAATTACGAACACTTCTTTGATTTATTTGCATACTTATACTCTCTGCCCTGATGGCTAAACAGGTAAATGTCTAACAAATTTTTCAAACACATTTTCTATTGTGATAATGGTTATGATTTTTTTAATTCTGTTAACTAAAATCCTTATGCTGTGTGTGTTCCTTCTTAACATTGACATTCCTTCTTCTAAATGTGTTATTCTTTTTTTTTCAGCTTTAATTGAGTTTATTGGTACATTTTAGGGATACAGTACAGTTACATTCATTGTTGGGATCTTGTACCTCTACATGACAAGTCTTGATTCTCATTTTTACCCCTTACCCGTGCCCTTCCTTCACCCCCTCCTCCCCCTCCCCATCTACAAATACTTTATTTTCATCTTTTCATTATCTCACATTTTTTTATTTTCCCTTATTACCCTTCCCCTATCCATCCCACTTTCCCTACACCTTTAGCTCCTTTCTTCAAATTTCTAAATGTCAGTAATCTTGTTAGGATCTTATGTATTATTGCAGATTATTCACACCAGGGAAACTATTTGGTATTCACACATGTGTGACTTACTTATTTCACTTAGGAGTATATCTTCAATATGTATCCATTTTCCTATGAATGAATCTATTTTCTCGTTCTTTATGGCTGAGTAATATTGCATTTTATAGAAAAACCACATCTTCTTTACCCAGTTTCCAACGGATGGGCAAATGGGCTGTTTCCAAGATCTAGCTATTACAAACTGTGCTGCTATAAACATGGGTGTGCATATTTCTCTGTGATATGATTCTTTTAGTTCTTTTGGAAAGATACCCAGCAGAGGGATGGTTGTGTCAAATCGAACCTCCAGTCCAAGCTCTATGAGGTATCTCCATATTGATTTCCATAGTGGGTGCACCAGTCTGCACTCCCACCAACAATGGAGAAGGGTTCCTTTCTCCCCACAATCCCGCCAACATTTGTTATTGTGTGATTTTTTGATAGCAGCCATTCTTTGTGGGGTGAGGTGGAATCTCAGTGTTGTTTTCATTTGCATCTCTCTAATGATCAGTGATGTGGAACATTTTTTCATGTATTTACTTGCTGCTTTTACTTCTTTGCCTGAGAAATGTCTGTTCATTTCGGATGCCCATTTTTGAATCGGGTCTTTATATTTGGGGGGACTGATTGTTTTGAGTTCTTTATATATCCTTGACAATAGCCCTTTGTCTGAGGAACAGCTGGTAAAAATTTTTTCCCACATTGTAGATTGTCTCTTAGTTCTGCTGATGGTTT